GTATTTGAGGTTTTTTTTTGGACAGTGATTTAGTTTCTCTTTGTTGCATTTCAATGGTGTCAGAGGAGTCATTTGGGTTTGAGAAAAACCCAGATCTGGGTTTGATTTGGAGAGGAAGAGGAAGGGACAAGAAAGAGAGAAAGTGAAAGAGGAAGAAGAGATGACATGGAGGTTTTATTGTTAGGCTGTGATTTAGTTTCTCTTTTGTTGCATTTTAGTGGCATTGAAGGAGTCATTTGAGTTTAAGAAAAACCCAGATCTGGGTTTGATTTGGAGAGGAAGAAGAAGCGACAAGAGAGAGAAAGTGAAAGAGGAAGAAGCGATGACATGGATGGAAAAAATTCATTATTTTTAAATAAAATAAAATAAAATGCCAACTCATAAAAAAAAGGTGCCATGTCATTAGTTAAGAAAAAAAAAATGATTTGCTGGCAAGTTAACGTGCCACCTGTCCATTTAACTGACGGAAAGACGGTTTTGGTACCGAAAATTAAAGTTTAAGGATAATTTTGGTACTTTTTAAAGGTGAGGGACAATTTTGGTACCAAAGTGAGAAGTTGAGGGACCAAAATGGTACTTAAACCTTTCTTTTAATTAGGCGAAATGTCCTATCACTTGGCCTTTGGGACCGAGGCAGTTATTCTTGTCGAAATCAGTATCATGACCTTGAGAGTTAGCCATTTCGACCCAACGTGAAACGACCAACTACTTAAGGAAGACCTCGACCTTTTAGACCAAGTCCTCAAGTAGGCTCAAGTTCAGATAGTAGTATATAAACAGAAGGTAGCCAACTTTTACAATAAATGAGTCCGCCCTCGAAATTTCAAAATTGGTGATCTCATTCTCAAAAAGGCAGGGCTCACTAGCCGAAGTGGGAGGGTCTATACGTAACAGTTGAAATACTTCACCCCGGTGCTTATATACGCCAAGATGCTGATGGTAGAAAAGTTCCTAGAGTATGAAATGTAAATAATTTGAAGTTTTATTCTTAATGAAGCTTAGTTTTATCTATTTTCACTTCCTAAAGTTAAGGTTAGAAATCTATTTTCACTTCGGGTCCGATGTGGATACTCGTTTATCCTAGTTGCTTTGATTTAGCTTTGGAAGTCGAAGATAGATATTTGGTTTTATGTCAGTTCTACTTTTCCCTTTTAACAGTTATCGTTCTAAAGTCAAAGATCACACATTCATTCGAAAACAAAAACAAAATTAATTCTTCAAATTACTAATGCATTCATTTAACGTGAAATACAAATGTTCTTAATCTACAACCTCAAAAAATCGAGAGTGTGCTGGCTAAGCTCAGTTGGTGACTTTGTGTTGTTGATCCACTTTTTCGTTTTGGACATTATCTGCCACTTCGACCTCCTTTGGCACCTTAACCTCTTCCTCATCCACCACCACAAACTCGTACTCCAGTTTTAGTGGGAGGATGTCTTCCTAGCCTCGTCCCATACCCAAGTTAGTTTTATCTCAGGTCAAAACTCAGCTGTCTTACTCTGCTCGCTCTCCTCCACTCCTGCCTATTCAAGTCCGAACATGATGTTACTCATGTCCACTTTTGGGTTCTGAGCCTTCTCCAACAATCTATGAAGGGCAACACTAAGGCTGACAAGCGGTAAAGGTCCACCACTTCAGAGAACGTTGGGGACTTGATGAAATCAAAGACATGTTGCTCAACTGAGTTGTGGATTGCCAACACAGTTTTCTTCTTCACATCGGCTAGCTCGTTATCCTTCTTCGCTAGGGTCTCTTTGCAATTTTTCCTCTTTTGTTCTTTCAGCTCAATAGCCTTTTTGGTAGTGGCCAACTCCTCCTTGACCTTTTTGAGCTCTAAGGTCAACTCATTGAAGTTTTACTTTGTAGCCTCTTTCTGCTAGTCAAGCTCCTCATTCTTCTCGGCCAAGGTTATTCACTCCTGGAGGTAGTTTATGAACTCAATCACCATAGCATTCACCAAATTTGTCGTCTGCAAAAGGAGCAAAAGTTAAAAAAAAAAAAAAAAAAAAAAAAAAAAAAGAGGGGAGAAAATGAAGTTCACCTCCATGGCTTGTCAAACTACCCCTGCTCCCCTGTTCTTCGACACTTCATCCCTGGCCCTCTGCAGATCTACTTCAGGGAAGTGGGAGTTGATGAACCGCTTGGCAACGATCTTGCCGGACTCGAAAAAGCTCAACATTTGCCTTGGAAAAGGAATAGAGCTTTTCCCCTTCCCATGTGTTACAACCCCCACTTCCCGCAAGGATGGCTTGATCTACATAGGGGAGGTTGGGGTGCAAACTAGATTGGGGCCTCAGGTTGTGGCTCTTGCACTTTTTCCACCCTTTTCCTTTTTTGGGTTGCTGCTTCTTCCTCAATCTACCTCCTCCTTTGCTCCGAGCTAGACCCCACCTCAGCTTGAGGTCCTCCACTTTGGTAGGGTCTTGAAGTCCCACCCCCACTCTTTCTTCTATGGTAGTTGGAGCTAGGGTCTTGGACTTCTTCTTCGGAAGTCTCACAACTTTGCCTCCAACCTTCAACTAGTTTAACTCTTCTGTAAAACAAAACAGAGTTAAAATTCCAATCAATCTTAATTTTAAACCGCAATTTCACTTTAATTAAGACACATCTTCCCTCAGTGAGCTTTTCTCATAGATTCTGATTGCTTCTACCACCTCTAGATTGGTTAGATACATTATGTTTACCAACTCCCCTTCATCCCTTTCCAACCTCTCCACTTCATTCTTTTCACCCTCCCCAAATAGATACTTTTTCGGATTCAATTTTTTCCCTTTCCACCTACTAAGATCCTTCACCTCTCCATCTCTCTTCCCCCACTCCGTGTTATCAACAAAGAAGAACTTGTCCTTCCACCCCTTAATGGAAGAAGGACCTGCTGTAAACAGATTCCTACTCCTACCTTCAGCCACCCGTGGTGTAAAATAGAACCACCCCTTTTCTTTCCACTCCCTTCCTATACTATAAAGAAGTACTTGAGCAAATCCACAATAGGGATAGTTACACCTCGACTTTGGCAGTAAATTAAAAACCCCACCACCAATCGAATTGCATTCGACACAAGCTACGTTAATCCAAGCTCGTAATCCTTCAACACTACCACCAACAGCTCAAGAATGGAGAACCGAAGCCCAACTGTTAAGTAATGCGCATACAGAGGCATCTAGTGGTCCTTTGAAGCCGACCAAGCTCACTCTTCACTCCCAGTTGGCCTTACCAGCACGTGAGGTGGGATATTGTAGTTTTCTACCAAGTACCCCAACTCCCCTCTAGTCCTCCAACATGATTTGTACCCCAATGCTTCCTCCACCATCTCCTCCTTCTTATCATAACACCTTTCCCGACTATCATCAACCTTTAAAATGTTAGTCGAAACTGCGCTTCCCTCTTGACCTCTACTCTCTTCACTTCCCCCACTTTTCAAAGTCCCCGTTTCACTCTCTTTACTTGAGCTCATCACCTCTTCTTCCCCTTCAATACTCACTGTATCTTCAGAAGACATGTCTTTAGTATTGTAATCCTCACTACAACGGGTAAGGGATGAAGAATAATTAGGATCACCTATAATTTCTCTATGGCTCCCTACCTCACCTTTTGTTAAATATCTAATCTCCCTAACTGAACTCAATTCTAAGTCTGAATAAATAACTAAATCAAATAGCCTGCTTAAACCAGAGGTAGAGCTCATAGGATACCTAAATTCCTGATGGTTGAGCTAAAACACTTAGCAAATTTGTGAGCTACTAACACATGCCCCTAGCTGCAACTTCGAACTCAGCAACCGTTAACTTGGACGACGAGGTGCTCTGGTGCAATTTTAGCAACGCTTCGCTATAAATTCAATAAGGTAAATTATGAATAACTCAAGCTCGGGTATTTATATTAAGGCTTTATTTCCCTCAACGGTCACGATCGCTCACATCTAACGGCCACGATCTCTTCCTTTCGAATTCGACAGTTATTCCTAACAACGTCATTCATTACAGCACATCACATGAGGACAGTTGCCAATTCGAATTAACCTACTTTTCAATTACATTTCAAAAACTCGTCCATATCCAATGTAACCATTTTAACTACCTTTTAAATGTATTTACATTTAGTCATAATATTTTCACTTCGACTCTGGCCATTCATTACGTGACCACGTGTCATGATATTTTACTTTAGCTCGGGCCATACATTACATGACCTTGTCGTGATATTTTCACTTTGGCTTCGACCGTACATTACATGACCACTTGTCATGATATTTTTACTTCAGCTCTAGCCGTACATTACATGACAAGGTGCCATGATATTTTACTTTGGCTTTGGCTATACATTACATGACCTCATTATGATATTTTTACTTCAGCTCCGGCCGTACATTACATGACCACGTCATGATATTATCACTTTGACTCCAACCGTACATTACATGACCATGTGTCACGATATCTTCACTTTGGCTTCGACCGTGCATTACATGACCACGTGCCATGATATCCTCACGTTGACTTGAGTCATCCCTTTCAAACCCAATACAAACTCCCGTATCATTCACTAGTGAATGACTTCGAAGGGGGGAATAGTGTAGTGACGGTAGCTCAAGTCACATGCTTTGATAGTTCGAGGTCACGCACCTTAGACCTCTTCAGCTATTCCCAACGACCTCTTCACCTTGACATTGTTTGAAGTGCAATGAACTCAGTTGAGTTCGAGGTTGTCCCATTTGCCCTCACTCTACAGTAACTCCGTACATACACATAATTCTTATGAGAGATTTCTATGATGATTGACACACATGACCCCAATTTTTTGCAAAGATGAACACTTGGACACCTTCTGGAAGGCTATAAATATCCCCCAAGGGTCCTCCTCAAAAGGTAATTGAAACTGATCTCAAGCTTGGCTTTTGCTCCATATTTGGTAGATCTGCTTATTGCTAACTTAGACATCGGAGTGTCTACTGCGAGGACTAACCTCGAGGCTTTGCAAGCTTACTGAAGTGAACATCCGAGCTTGGGAGCACTTTTAAATTATTTGTGTGAACAGGTCTCAAGGCAGTCATTAGGTAGATTAGGAAGTTGGCTTTGCCTTTATCCCATGGACAAATTTGTTTTTGAAAAAGAAGTACTTGGGCATGGCTTCTATGGTGCATTTAGTTTTTGAGGGAAAGAATTAATGCCTTTTTTTTTCTTTCTTTTTTGAATGTGTATAACCCATGCGACATTACAGAAAAAGGAAAATTTGGAAAGAACATATGGGAATTGACTGTTTTGCAGTACCTTTGCTCTTAATTAGAACTGGTGTAATTGAAGCATGGACATGATTATTCTTAGAGATGGAAGTGGGACAACAAAGGACAACAAAGGAAATTAGCAACACCATCAGAAAAAATTCTTATACAACTTATTATGGAACAAAGATGTCCCTTGAAGGTTTA